TTTCAGATTTAAACTAATGATTATACCTGTAGATGATCTCATTTATATGATATTTGCAAGAAAATCACTTATATTGCTTTGCATACAAACATTGTATGGAGCAACTTCTCCAAGATGGCGTCGCGTCCTAATCCCACTGGCCCATGGCTGGAGTCCGGCCTGTCATGTCTAGTAAATAAACGTCATTGAGGGTGTCACTGAGCCGGCGGCAGCCAGTGACCAGGGCTGATGGGTAATAAACCCCCCCCCCCGGCGCCCCCCCCTTTCAGAGCCTCAGCCTGAGCTTAAAGGGGGGCCATGAGGAGAGGTGGGGGGAGGAGAGAAGGAAGGAGCTGATAGCCCTGTGTCTCTCTGTAACACAGACCCTCCCCCGAAGAGGCTGCCTGTGAAACGACCCCCATCACTACTGCCCCCCCACCTCAGGCTGACTGTGACACCAGGACCCCGTCCCAAGACCAGCACTGTCCTCAAGCAGCCTGCCTTCAGTTAGAGAGACACACTCTTCATTTTCTGTTAATAAAGCCCCTTGTACCCAAACTTCGATATACTGTATAAACATGTCATTCTAAAGGAAGCCATTTAAAGATCACAGAAGATTAGCCTTTCTCTAGGGCATGAAGAAGATGTTTATTTGTATTTTGAATAAGAAATGATTCATGTTTCCCCTGCAGTTATGATGTCAGTCAGAAGATACTTTGCATTTCAGCTCTTGCCTCAGTGCTCTGGGAGGGTTTATATTCCAGGAGGTTTAACACTACATGACTGACAGCTGTCCTTCATCACAACAGACTCCAAGCAAACATGACTTTGATCAGCCTCAGCATCTTGCTCTTCATTCTCACTCATGGTAAAAGAGAACAAACCTGACGATTTTGCAACATATTGCTTAATGAACTTTGCTAAATATTTGAAGTAGACAACTGGAGCTTTCTTGTGTGACTTAATTTTAAATGTTAATTCAGTATGAAACATGTTCTGATTTTGTATTCCTTTTCAGAATCCAGAGGACATGTGACTGTGAGTCAGACTCCAGAGCTGATATCAGCTTCCTCAGGACTGACAGTCACTATAAACTGCAAAACCAGCAGACCAGTGAATGCTGCTGGGACCTCTTATCCTGATATGGGCTGGTACCAACAGAAACTTGGAGAAGCTCCTAAACTCTTAATCTATGATGCAACACACCGTAAATCTGGGACTCCATCTCGATTCAGTGGCAGCGGATCTAGTACTGACTTCACTCTGACCATCAGTGGAGTCCAGGCTGAAGATGCAGGAGATTATTACTGTCAGAGTTTACATAGTGGTTATGTGTTCACACAGTGATACAGAGCCGTACAAAAACCTCCCTCAGTCAGACTGCACAGTGACTGCACTGCTGCAGCTGGGACTCACTGCAGCTGCTGAGGAGGAAGATAATGACTTTAGCACTTTGCTAAGTGGTTAATACATTTCACATATATATATATATATATATATATATATATATATATATATATGCCCATAGCTTCCCCGATAGGCTCCGTACCCCGCACAACCCTGAATAGGCAAGTGGGCACAGAAAATACATGAATGGAGGGAATATATTTTATATTTGTAAAATCTATTCCGTGAAGGGCGGGGGGGTCACCTCAGTGTGCAGCACTGTTACCTCACACCTGCAGGGTTGGGGTTCCTATCCTGCCTCATGTCTTTGTGGGGGGGTTTGCTTGCTCCCCCCATGCTGTGTGAGTTTCCTCTGGGGGCTGCAGCTTCCTCAGCCACCCAAAGACATGCAGTTCAGCTCCTTTGCTTCTGTAACCTGCATGTAGTGTTTCAATGAGAGTGTGTGTGCGGCCTGTGCAGGGTGTACCCCCCCGGGTCCATTAATGCCTGGGATAGCCCCCAAACCCACCACACCCCACTCCCACCGCCCCGTCAGTGACCCTTTCCTGATAAGATGTACTGAAAGATGGATGGACGGATATTATGGGGAAGAATAGTTTCAAATTTCAATTCTGTTGCATGTCAGGATGAGCAGCTTCTGCTGTTTAAATAATCTACCTGCTAAAAGCTTTAAGAGAAATACCACATATTTGTATGTAGATTTGACCCACGTACAGTTACTAAGCGCTCCTCTATCTCCCGCTTTCTCCAGAGTGCCGGAGTTTCCTGCCGTCTGCTGCCCTGTGAGTGTGTTTCCCGATCCCCACTCGGTGTGAGTGTGTGTCTCCGCATTCTCCTGGCTGCTCATGTCCCAGTGTTTCCCTGAACCACCAGGACGGACCTTTCGGCTTTCCTGGCTGCTTTTCTGAGGCCCCCCCCCCCCCCCCACACTGGATGAATGGCGTCTGCATCACAGCTGCAGAAAGTATTGGTTTTGATTTCAGCCCCCATGTTAACAGATGAGAGCAGCCACACTGCCTGGCTGAGACGCGTCTCAGGCCTCACAGCAGCAGCGCCTCATCTAGGGGGTCAGAGTGGCACCTATTTTTCACGCCTGTAAGTGGTTCCCAGCAGAAACAGACACTCTCAAGATCTGCTGATAGTCATACTGACATCATACCAGCAAAATTACATAACTGACACCTTTCACTATAGTTTCAGTGTCTAGGCTATACAGTGGTACCTCAGAACTCGAATTTAATCCTTCAGAGCTCTGGATCGAATCCTAAAAAGTTCGAGTTGTGATCGAATTTTCCCCATAAGATATAATGGAAAACCAATTAATTGGTTCCAGGCCCCAAAAAATTACACCTAAATATGTTTTTTTTTTTTTTTAGCATTTAAACCCAAAATGAACCGGATAAAATAAGAAGATCATATACTGTACTAAACACATCTAAGCACATTTATCAAAACAGTAATTTGTAAAGTAAGAAAATAAATGTATCCAAACAATGTGTCCTGCCCCGATCGGCCACTCCTTCCGTGTGCTACGCCCCCTCGTTAACCCCGTGTGGAATCCTCGCGCGATCAGCTGTTTCTGGTTGTTGTCATTAGTCCTCTGTATTTCAGTTTGTTTCACCAGTCCGGACATTGTATTGTCCGTCTGCCTTTTGCCTGGCTTACCTGTAATTAAACCCCGTATTCCCCGATACCCTGACGTCAGCGCCTTTGTCTCCGTTCCGCCCCCACTTGGCACAACAATATTATTTTAATTGAACGTATTAATGGTTTATTATTAATATGAAAATAATGAATAATAAATCTTTATTTTTAAATGTATTTATTATATAATAATAATTACTGTTACTGTCTATCATTGTCTAAATGTATTTTTACTGTCTAAATATATGTATTCAGCTAGTGTACACATGCACGATGCTCTCATAGCGAATGTGAGGATAAGAATGAAGCTTTACCCTTTGTTTCCGCTGAGAGACATGCCACGCGACTCATTTCCCCGCGCGTACAAGTTATCTTAGGTCGGTGTACACGGTTTGACTTCTGAGATTCAGATCGAGCTCTAGGTAATTTTTTTTTTCAAACTGGTTGGTTCGACTTTTAAGAAATTCGAGTTCTAATGAGTTCGATAACTGAGGTACCACGTACTGTATATCATAATCATGAAAAAATATATTACATTAACCAATTTCCCAGTCATATATATTATTAAAGGAGAAAGCGAAGGCTGCGTGTCTACTATATAGTCACAGCAAAAACCCAATGTAGGCTATAATTATACTCTGTCACTAAATTAGCAGAAATTATTATTTTATTACTATTATTATTATTACAGTTATTACTATTACGATAAGTCAGCATGGGCTTCTTAACCTTTGTCTGAACTAAATATGAATTACATTTCTAATGAATTGAAATCAAACATTTTGTTACTGATGACCGTTTTCAAAGTTAACTTAATGTAGCAAGAGGGTTTGCAATATCACAGCCATAGCGGCAACGCAGCCGGTGTGAACAAAAGTGCGGCTTTGCACCGCAGCGGCTCCGTACCGCACATACCACGCATTCAGGGTGACCCGGGCCTGACTCCGCCTCTCGTGGTTCAATTCGAGCTCTTGGTTGCTCGCAGACTGGATCCTGTGATTTCTGCATTACGAGTGGATTCTAGGCAGAAGATACAGAAGATTTTGAGGAGTGATTTGTTCACACATTGTTACTGAACTGGAAGGGGAATATCAACTTTCACCAATAACACAGCCGGATAAATGCTGTGATACATTAATTCCTGAAGTGTTATATTTGGCAGACAGAGGCGACCCAGGGAGCTTAAGGTCCTTACAGGCAGCCAGTACCTGTCACTCAGGTGGAAAGATACGTTTTAAAAGTGACAGGTGTTTCTTAGTAGTTTCTAATTACTATTACAAATATTTTTTTTCCTACAAAATACAGTACAGCAATTACAGTTTTAAATGTATATCAGGGTATAAACACAAATAAAAACCATGTTGTTGTGGGTGCGATTTTTATCATTATGAGCGCGTGCCCCGGAGTACTGCGCAATTGCGCAAACGCTGAGCGTAAAGGGAACATTGATCACAAACCATAACAGGGAAAACCTCAAGGCTGCTGGCTGAGTCACTCAAACACGTGATTCCATTACAATACAATATCGTTTCTATGCAAATACTCCGTCTGGTTACAGTAGGTTCCTGTACATAGTTTCTCATTATGAAGACGATGATGTGATCTTAATTGACATTTGGGAACCCAGTAATTATAAAGCTTTGTAGTTTCTGTCATCTGGGTCGAAATTCACACATCATGTTTACAACACACTGGATCAGTTTGAAGGAGATTATGAAGAAATACCGGAAAACCTGGAACTTCGCTAATCTACAACATTTAACAGTTACAGGCAGAATTTACTGTTGTCTCTGGAAAGCGATACTGGATTTTACAGTCAGAATTATATAAATTGCAGGGATTCTTTATCTTATCAAATGTGGGTGTACGTAGGGAGTTAACCGTCCATTAATGTATTTACTGCAACAAGAAACGCGGCTGTAGCGCTGGGAGGTTTTTGTACTGCGTGTCAACCGGTTTCAATCACTGTGGTGGACTTTCGGCGGCGGGACCAGACTGGATGTTGGTAGTAAGTATCCAGCTTTTAATCTATAATATGCACGTAGAAATATTTAATACACACTTCAGTTTCGTTATTACTGCAAATGACAGAATTTCTCGTTCCATCCTGAAGATCCATTACTTCAATAAGAATAAGTACGGTGGCCGAGAGAGCTCAACACGCTGCAACTTCAAGAAAACACATGCAAACATAAAAAAAACACAACAAATTAAGAAAACGTCTCCATCAGTTTGACAACACAGGTGCTGCAAATACGGAAACGCGCTGCAAACACACGAACGCGCAGCAAACACAAAAAACGTGCTGCAAGCACAAAAAAAGCGCTGCAAGCACAAAAAACGCGCAGCAAACACAAAAAACGCGCTGCAAACACAAAAAACGTGCTGCAAGCACAAAAAACGCGCAGCAAACACAAAAAACGCGCTGCAAACACAAAAAACGTGCTGCAAGCACAAAAAACGCGCAGCAAAC